CCATGGCGGACAACGAGGAGGCCAAAGGGGCGCTGGGGCCACGCGAGGCAGCGACAGCATTCTGCACGAAGTCCCTCTCCGTAGCAGCGCCGGAGGACCAGGCCCTGGTCATTCGTCACTTTCGTGTTCGGCGGTGCTGCGACGAGAAGTTCATGAGGCTCCTGTTCAGCATCGCGGAGGGCTTCCAGATCGAAGGACCAGACCTGGCGAAGTTGCTCCTGGAGCAAGCCGCGATTAGGATCCCGACGCACCTGGGCGGCCGTCTGAAATTCGGATCGGCACCTGCGGGCCACCTCGAGCAGATGGCTCAGAAGCTATTGGATCGGACGAAAAAGGGGGCCAGTGCAGGGAGCAAGCGGTGACCACGTCGTGGGAACAGCGCATTGCATCGCTTCGACTGCGTATTGCCGCCAAAGAACGCCCACATAACCTCTGAACGGATCGGAATCCCTCGCTAACCGTTCGCCCCACATCTTCGCATTGTGTTCCTCGGTGCAAGAGTGTCGACGTGCTGGTGGTTTGATTTTGTTTCGTGATTTGGTGGCTGATACTCTATGGGCGATCACTACACGCCAGCCTCCCACGTCACAGCCGCCTGCGACATGAGCCGTTTCGCCCCCGAGCTCGGCCTTCCGAACTGAAGCCTCACTTTTGTTCTGGCGAGTCGTGCTCTCCAGGCTTCGCACTTCGAGCGGCAGGCACCGTCCGCTGGCCGCTACCTGCCCCTCCCCCTTCTCCTTCGCCCCCGCTCGTCGTCGGTTACTCGGGCCCTGGCGGCATTGTGCGCGGGTTGAGCGTTCGTCGTCGGGGCCCATCTTCCCGCTCTCGTTCCGTCAGATCCCGCGCCACCAACGCGGCCCCGCTTCCCCGAGGCAGGGTCGGTCCGAATTCGGAGTCTTCGGGCGCTCCAGGGGCCTGCCTGGCGCACCCAGCACCGCGGGCTTCGGCCCCTGCGAGACCCGAAGGGGTTTTTCGCCCCTCGCCCGCACGCTTTCGGTCTTTGCGACCCGTCCCGAAACTTCGGTGGAGTTCAGGGTTGCACGGTGCGTTTTACCCTGACCTCGTAGCTGTCGCCGAGAGCCACGCCCTGTCAGAGGTTCACCCGAGCGCCTTGTGAAGGTGCCACTGCTCGAGCGGGCGGGGATCTTCAGGCCCACAGCGCATAGCCGAGTCTAGTCTATGTCTAGTCTAGTCTAATCTAATCCAGTCTAGTATGATCTAGTTTGATCTAGTTCAATTTAGTCTAGTTTAGTCTAGTCTAATCCTCCTCCTCCTCCTCCTCCTCCTCCTCCTCCTCATCCTCCTCCTCCTCCTCCTCCTCCCCCTCCTCCTCCTTAGTCCCCCTCCTCCTCCTCCTCCTCCTCCTCCTCCTCCTCCCTCCTCCTCCTCCTCCTCCTCCTCCTCCTCCTCCTCCTCCTCCTCCTCCCTCCTCCTCGCCTCCTCCTCGCCCTCCTCCTCCTCCTTCTCCTCATCCTCCCCTTCCTCCTCCTCTCCTCCTCCTCCTCCTCCTTTTCCTCGTCCTCCTCTCCTCCTCCTCCTCCTCCTCCTCCTCCTCCTCCTCCTCCTCCTCCTCCTCCTCCCCCTCCTCGTCCTCCTCCTCATGCAAGTCGCCACGGATGGTTTCTGCAGCCCGGAGCGCGAAGCAGGCACGTATGACGTCATTTTGCACGGTTGTACACTGCACGGTGAGCCCGCCAGGGAAATTTGCATAGAGAAGGAGGTCGCGCATACTTGTGCCACTGTCGAAAATATCTCGGCATCAAACTGCAGGCGCTCTCGCCCCTCTGCATCATGATCCTTACGATTGCTGGCCTGGCCTCTGATCGAGAACAGTTTCGCTAGTAGGCGGTGCCGATCGCACTTCGGGGAATCAGTGTCGTAGGCTTCCTCGTGGTCGTCATAAACCCGCTCCTCCCCTCGGCATGCTTCAGCCGGTCGCCGCTTGCAGGCTGGGCCGGCCGGCCCCGCCGCGCGAGCGGGCCTTGGCGCCACCAGGGGGCCTCGTCACTATCGTCCTCCTCAATGGGTGCCGCCGCGCATGCCATTGCCCGCGCGGCTGCGATCCCCCCAGATAGGACAGAGCGAGCTCAGGCCGGGCGAAAAAAATGGCCAGCACTTTCCGAACCGAAACAAAATGCATGCGAAACCCCACGACGCAGGTCCAGCCTGAGAGCGACCCCACAGGGGGGGAGAGCAGACTCTGGAACAACAGACCCTGGCGCGGGTATGTTGTCCCAGGGTCGGCTAACGGTTTCCATAACAAGACCCAAGGGAGGGGAGGACGAAGGGACAGACCCACCTTCCCCACAGAAGGACGACATACCTGGCCAAACAAGCTCCCAGGAACGACCCAGTACCCAATCACACAATCAAGAGGGGGGGGGGAAGGAGGAAGGGAGGGAAGGAGGGAGGGAGGGAGGGAAAGGGGGCAGGCGGAGGAGGAGGAAGAGGAGGGGCGGCTCTCCTGACGTCGCTCCCCCCGGACAGGCCCCTCATGCACGAATAGAACAACAATCGCCGAGAACGACGGAAGCGCACACATGCACACACGCGACAACACCGCACGCGCAACACACGCCCACGCTCCGGATACGCGCGCGTGCGGGCACAGGACACAACCTAGCGCTGTGACGCTGTCCTGAACCATTTCCCGCTCACGCTGCAAATCGTACGCTTGCTTGCGCTGCGATGGCCACGCCGGGCCACGGTAGCATGGGATATGTCACCATAGCACCGGTAAAGTGCCGAGGAGGATCTGCCAGGCAGCAGCAGAATTGAGGAAAGCAAGGGGGGCAGGGGGGAAGGGAGCGGGGAGGAGCCGATAACGGCGGAAGAGCGCCGCCCACAGCACAAGGCAAGACACACCCTAGTGCCGCACCAGGCCGCCACGACTCTAGGGGCTCCCATCTCCGTCCAGCTGCTTGACCGCCCCTGCCCAACCGCAGCGCCGCGGACGCGGGTCGGCCGCCGCCCCTGCTGCTCCGCCCGAGCCGTCGGCCAAGACGTGGGCCTCGACACTCTCGCCGTGCAGGACCGCCTGGTCCGCCTCCCCGCTGCTGCGGCACACCTCGCGCGATCTCTCCTCGCCCTCAACTTGATTCAGCTGGTGGGCCCAGGACGCCGGCAAATACCTCTCAGTCAGAGGTGGGCGAGCTGACCCTGGGCGCGGTCATCCTCGGCCCCTTGGCCCCTTGGCCAACTCTGCGCCGCTCCCCTGGTCGAGCCCCCCGCTGCGCGGGCACTCGTAGAACTTGTGGGTCGCCGTCTCCGGGCCAGCGCCGCAGCGGGGGCACGGGGCCTTGCTGTATGCCAGGAGGCCCGATTCACACTCTCTGGCCCTGGGCCTGATGCCACCGCTGGCGGCGACCTCCATCAGGCTGGCCTCCTGGTACTGCTTCTTCTTAGTGATATGTTTTCTTGCTATTAGTATGATGCTTCTTCTTCTTCTTCTTCTTCTTCTTCTTCTTCTTCTTCTTCTTCTTCTTCTTCTTGTTCTACCTTCTCCATAGGTTCTTGGCACGAACCCAGCAAGCTGCGCAGCAGACAAAGGCCGCCCCTCGCTGCAGGCCCCCCTCCCGGGAGGAGGTCCACCCTGACCCGAAGCGCCCGCTGCGCCGACTCCTGCACCTCATGGCGGAGCGCCCCGAAGCGGGGAACGTCTCCCACTCGGGACTGCCGGTCCTGCTGCTTTGGACTCGCCCAGTGGGCCAGCTCCTTCGGCAACCCTCCAAGGCCCGGCACCAGCGTGGTGACCTCCACCATGGAGCCCCTCATGTGGGCTCAGCGCCGAGCCGACGGGAAAGGGCTCCAACGTGCCCGGGTCTGGGCAGCTCACTCGGGCGCTCCTCGACCGCGAGCCAGAACTGCCGAACCTGCTCGGCGATGGCATTCGCGACGCTCTCCTGGGCGCCGCGGACAAGGAGCAAGAGAGCGCCACCTGTGCGGCCCCCGTATGGGTGGCGCCCGTCGGCGCGACCCCATGAGCTCGGATGCCACACGTCTGCAGGCTGTAGGCCCCAGGCACGTAGACCTTGGCCGCGCCCCTCGAGTCCTCTTGGGCCAGAGGCTTCTGTCCGCCTCCTCCCAGCCATACTCCACGTCGGAATCATCCTCTCACAGGTCGGCCGCACCCACCTGGGCAGGAGGCTCCGGCTCCACCTCTCGCACCGTGGCAGTCGTGAGATCCCCATTCGGCCTCCTCGATATTGCTGGCAGTCTCGTGCAGTTGCTCCTCCAGCTTGGCCTGGTGCTTACGTGCGTTCACGATGTTGCAGCCCATCCCCCTGGCATGGTTATGATGATGCACGCGGTTCGCTGGCAACTCAATCGCAGTCGGCCCCATGGCTCGGGCCTTCGGCTGCGGCGCAGGGCTGACCAGCGCCGGCCAGAGCTGCGACAGCCGCCAAAGCCGAGCTGCTCCACTGACCGTTTCGAAGCCGTGGCACTCTTTGGCCACCGAGTCCACCAGCGAAACCTCGACGGATGGTCAGCCCTCAGCACCGTCCCCCTTCACGATGGGGTGGCTGTTGCTGCTTGTTTTTTGAACCCGCAGCATCCTGGTAGCTGGGGCGCCCACTTGGCTCCACATAGACGGGTATCTCCCTTGCTGGAGATGGCCATGTAAAGCCTCCAGCGCCCACAGCCGCACACAACCAAGCCCTGAGGATGGAATGACAAACTTCCTCCACGGCGCCTTCTCCCACCACTGACCACTGAAAGTCGTCCGCACGCCCCGCTGCGCTATTGCCGCCCATGCTGGAATGGCTGCGAGCGCTGGACGTCATACTGAACGCAGTCCTCGGATCAGACCCCTTTCGACTGGAGGCTGAACAGCCCACAAGGGACTCATCTCGAAACACGGTGGCTACAGAGGAGAGGACGAAGGGAGGAGGAAAGAGAGGACGGATGGAGAGAATGGGGAACGGATGGGGGGGAGAAGGAGGAGAAACAGATCAGGAGGGGAGAGCCGTTTGGGAGAGGACGACGAGGACGAAGTTGAACCAGAAAGCAGAGGGAGGCCCACCCATGCCAAGAAGTCGAACTAGAAATCGGACGTGGCTGCGTGGTGGCAGCTCGACATGGCATCGCCAACCACACGAGCAGCTGCGCAAAGCCACCACCAACTCCAGCATCGTGCCTGCCCTTTTTGCTCGCGAGGACCGTCGGCGCTTGAAATACAAAGGACGCTCGGCATTCAGTCCAAGGCGAGCCAGCCCAGCGCACAGCAGCTTGCCTGCAGCATGGCGAGAAAGCGCACAGGACACAACCAGCAAGATATCCTCGCCAGGCTGCTGCGAGGATCCGTCCGCAAGATTGAACGAGTTGGGCTTTGAAAGCGAGGGCGGGACGGATGACTCTCTGGACCGAACGGTACCTCTTGCCGCACCCGCGTAGATGTGCGGACAGCGGCACGGATCTAGAGCATAACTAAAGATTAAATGTCCAGCGCCTGCGGCCACACCCCCCTTTTTGGCATTTCAGCGTAACGAAAATCCCAAAGAAAGGGCTATAGGAAAGCGAAGGACATCTGCGATGATGTCGAATACACGAAGAGAGACCCCCAGGTCCCTCCCTAGATTTCCCCGGAATCTCCAGACATACCCCTTCCTACTCGTCCTGCTCCCCTCCGCTTCTGCCTCACACGTTTACTCTCCTCTGTTTTCTTTTCTCCTTTTCTTCTCCCTAGCTCTCTCTCTCTCTCTCTCTCTCTCTCTCTTTCTCTCCATCCTCACCTCTGCGAATACCTGGGAAGGGCATGCCGGCAATCAAACAAGCATGAATCGACTCACGCATGAGGTGGGGTGAGGGGGCGACAGGGACAGAGAGGGAGAGGTTGACAGAGAGGAAAAGGATGACAGAGAAGGAGACAAAGAAAGAGACAGCGAGAGAAAAAAAACACTGAGAGAAGAGGGGAAATCGGTAGACTATGTTCCAAACATAGACAATTCAGGCGAGGTTCGCCAGAGCGAACCCCAAATATTAAACTCTTACACCCTGAATGGGCAAACTACGTGGTGCAGTCAGGGTGGCGAAAATTATGTTGCGCAAGGTGTATGGTGCAAACTATGTGGCGCAAGTTATGCGGTGCCAGCTATGTGGTGTAAGGTACTCATGTGGTATCATCGACGAGATGCGGGGCTATGTGGTGCACGCTGCGTGGTGCAATATGTGTGATGTAACCTGTGAGGTGCATGCAGCGTATCATCCCGCGTGGTGCATCATATGACAAGCAAGATATGCGGGTACAAGCTATGTGGTGCAAGCTACGTGATGCAAGCAAAAAGATGCATTATATGTGGTGCAAGCTGCGCAGTGCGAGCTATGACGTGTACCAAGCGCAAGGGGCGCCCACGAGGCGCCCACGGGCAGGCACCAACCGGGCACTACGCAGGACCCGGCCGAACCCACCCAGCGCAAGGACTGCCACGAGATGACCACGGGCGGACACAAACCGGACACCAGACGAAACCCCGCCACACCCGTCCACTCACTTAAATAACCCAATTCAGAACCCGTGCGTGCAAGCCCTGCGCGGAGAATACACGGAGGGGATATCGGGGAGAAGGGAAATGGACAAGCTTGGGGCGATCGCGACACATCTGGCGTCCAACCCTCTTGTGGATAGGCTTCCGAACACCGTCGGTCGTCGTCGAAGCATCAAGCGTGACGGTAGAACATGAACAAAGAGATGGCGTTCAGTATCAAGCGCGCATGCTCTTGGAAGGAGGCCGCGCCCCCGTCCCCTGAAACGTAAAACAGCGGTCAGGGAAAAGGGTTCTGGGTTCAAGACTAAGCTCCTAAGCTCCTGAGGGCCTCCGAATACTCCGAGCGCCTCTAGAATCACACTGGCTGCACTCGACAGCTCAGAACCGGATGAACTCTTGAAATATCCCTAGACATGCGCTGGATGTGTCGCCGCCTGCGGTGCGACGGCCTGCTGGGCCTCCCTGGGCCTCTCGTAGGCCTCTGGCCCGTAGTTGTGGCTGTTCGTCTCGTTGATATGGTGCTGACTTCCCGCGCAAGTCATCTCGTAGATGGCCAAACCTGCGAAGCAACAGCGGGTCACGTAGGCGTAGTGAGCTGGTTCCTTCTGCTTGCCTTGCGCTTGACCCTCTCCTCGCAGCGGCGGCGCAGCTCGATGCTGCCCGCGGTGATGCCGTGCTCTCCTTGCCCCCGGGCGCGTCGCAATAATGGGCTCCCTCCTTCTGTTGGTGAGCGGGTCCGTCAGCTGGCTTGCCCCTTCGATCCAACGCAGGTGTACTTCAGGTCGCTGCGTGGCTGATCTCACCGTGGCCGCCACGTCGATCTCCGCGCGCTTGCCCTCCGCCGGGCCAACTTTGGGGGCGGTCGCGCGGCCGCAGCCTCCGCGGGGAGTCGGTGACGCTGTTGACTGGGAAGCGCCCCGATAGCAGATAGGGCCGCGTGAGATCACACTCTGCATGGGCCTCTGAGATGGCACGCGCAAGCTCCGCCACGGCGGTTCCTTCGGATATCTCCACCGTCTCGGCCCCAAACTGATGAGCGCACTTCCGCTTCAACTCGTGGCCCTCCCGGGGCTGGACGGAGATGGCGGCGGGCCCCCCCGTTCAAGATCTCGCGCTGCATCGCGAACGCGACGCGCCCATCTTGCGACGGTCCACCTCGCGCATTGGCCCGGACCGCGTCGCTGAAGGTCACGACTTCCAGCTCGTGAAATGGAATGCGCTTAATCTTGAGGGCCGCGGCGCTGCACTCCCTGGCCATCCCGCCGACGCGGTTCGCCCCCGACAAGTCGTCGACCACCAGGTTGGGCATCTCCCCTTGCAGTAGAGAGACTGGCCCAAATAAGTCGGGGCGGCTCTGCGCGGGCCAGGAAAGACATGGGGCCACAGAGACCCCTGGCTTGACGCAGTTCTACTGGAATCACTGCCGCACGTGGCTCTTTGCGTCACTCCGACGCGATGCTGATCAGCTGGATGTCGGTCGAACTCTGGCTCTGTGATACGATGATCTCGGTGTTGTCGTCGTTATGAGCGAGCGCCTCGCCCAGGTCCATGCCCTTCTTGCGGCGCCAGGCTCCGAACGGAAACCTATCGCGCAGCTTCTTGCAGGCCTCGTCGAACTCGCTGTAGCCTCCGCCGCGACGTCGCCCACCGTCACCCCCACGATTCCGCGGAACCCCTGGTCGCCTCTCAGGTAGACGACGCAGCTGTCGAAGGTGGAACCCTTGAAACCAATCTACTTCGAGCACGTGGTGAACGCTGATAACCATTGAAGTGGTGCGTCTCCAAGTGCGCAGACGGCCTCGAGTAACTCCACCAGTGAACCCCCTCCACGGGGGAGCTCCAGCACGAGGAAGCTCCACGCATAGTCCTCCTTGAGATCGATCGATGAGATCTCTGGCCGCACATGCGGAAGCACTGTCGGCCAGCCGCAACGTCCGCTTGCCCGCGCACAAGATCTGCATTATCAGAACACAAGGCCCTTTCCGACCACGGGGCTGCAGGTCGAGCTCCAGAAGCTCAGGGTCGGCGCGAAGCTGCACCGCCCAGCGCGCCTTCGCCATCCTCCAGACCCCGAAGCCCATGAACATCAGCTGTCTTTTTTCCAGCACCCGCCTCCGCAAAGTCGCCACCCTTGTCCGCCAGGACCCACGCAAGCTCTGGAGCGCGACATACTTGAGCAGCTCCAGCAGGAGGTAGTACTCGCACAGCGTGGGCGTTCCTGATGCCCCCCCACTCTCGGCGCTCAACCGCGATGCAGGGCCGGCACCTGTAGGCGTTCATCAGTGACTTCTCGGTGATATCCTTTCGAAGTCGCTTGTTGGTGTTAGTGAATAAGGATTGCGTCGCCCGCTGTCCCCTGAACCCCCTGCTCTTCTTCTTCGGAGGGGGCCCTGCGTCCTTCAAGATCTTCCCCTCGATGGTAGCGATGCAGTCTGTGACCGGCATGGCTGAGCTCGGAAAGTCGAACTGTCTGCGTACTGGCGCAGGGCGCACCATCGAGGTGGTCGTAGCGCTTCGTCGCCATAGACACTGGATCTGGGTCGGCGTCGCCTGCCTTCTCGATCTTGATGGGTGGTTGCCATGAACAGGGTGCTTGATCGCCCCCAGCTGGCTCTGGCGGTGCAGCTCGAGGTGCCTCGTTTCAGGTGGCCCGTCTTGTCGAGAAAGATCCTCGCGCTTGCGGAAGCCTCGGTCCTCGGTGTTCAGCTCCTCCTTCATCGCGCTGTCAAGCTGCTCCCACCGCGTCGTCTCGTTCCCGCCGGCATGTCGTAGCTGCTCAGGCGAACACTTCAGCAAACCACCATAGTAAGAACACCAAGCTCCGCTGGGCAACCCCGTCTGAATCACCCGCGTCAAGAACTGGTCAGTAGTTTGACGGCGCTGCTCCTCCAGAAATAGCACCTGCCCACAGGTTGGAAGGTAGTTCCTCTCCTTGGTCTGGTCCTTCTGTTGAACGCGCGCTTCCACTTCTTCGAGCACTCCGCTTCGACGCAAGCTGGCATCGCCGCCTGCCGCGCGTCGATGCTCCCTGCCAACTCCGCGCCGCCACTCAGCGCCCTTGAGACTGTCGCCAAGCTGGGTGGGCCCTCCAGTGGAATCTTCTCGGGCAACCTGACAGGTCGTCCAGATACCCGGTGACATGGTGCGAAACCTCCTCTCCGCGCGCTCTCCCCGACCGCCGCGTTGGTCGAAGCCGCCAGCTCGTAGAAGTCGGCCCAATTGTTGGCGTTGAACTTCTGCCTCGCCCTGTAGAAAATTCCCTTCAACGCGCCTCCGGGTCTCTCCGTCTTGCCCGCCTACCATGGCCAAATAGCCCGCGCCACCTTGACCTCGGCCCCGTCTCCACTGGCTGCTTACGGAAACTCGCCCACCTAAAAGCCCTTCTCGCCGTCGATGACGATCACGCGGGGCGCGCCGTAGACTCGCTTCCAGAAAGCTCGGTGGCGTCGGCGTATCTGGCGTCCATGTCGGCTGGGTAGTGGCACCACTATATGATGCCCTGCGCCGTGGCCCACGTCGAGCACGCGCACGGCGGCGGTGGTTTCGGGGCCGAGCACAAAGAAGATGTCCGTACCGATCACGTCATTACACTGGTACGTCACCGGCGCTTTAGAGGGCTCTGCAATTCTTGGTCTCTCGTCGGCGACACAGCACGGACACGCAAGCTGCTGGGCCGCCTCGGTGAATGACTGTCGGGCCTTGCCGTACTACAGGGCCATGACCAAGTTTTTGTTGCTGCAGTGCCCCATGTTTTCCTGGGTATTATGATCCCGCTGCTTCGCATGGGGGTCGGCACTGCTCTCGCCCTGAGATAAGACGAAAATAATCTATTGACACAACGT